GCAGCTCCTGGCCTGATGAAGATGACCAACAGCATTGTTATCTTGGGGCAATGGAAGCCAAAAGCAAGATAAAGGACTGCGGCCTTGGGTACATGACTTTGTACTTCCAGGGCTCTACTGAGTTACTTAGAAAGCAAAGCTGGTTACCTAAATTGTGGGCTCCATTCCAAACAAAAATCTGGAACGCTTGTTAAAAAAATAATTAAGAATCCCAATGCAGCAGGAACAAAACACTTAAGGAAACCCAGGCCCCACATGACTACACAAGCTGATGCCCATGAAGCCAGCCAACCTCGAGGGAAAGACATTGGGGTAATTATGCCAGGAAGAGAGCAAGGTCTCTGCAGTGGGCTGGAGATTACTCATAGTAGCCAAAAGGTGAAAGCCTACTGTCAATCAACTGAACTCCGTAAGCAAATAAAGGTGATCCATCCATACAACTGAACACTATTTAGCCATGAGATGGAACTAAGTGCTGATAAATGTCATAGCACTGATGAACCTTGTGAAAATGTTATGCTCAAGGAATGATGCTAGACACAAAATGTCACATATTACATGATTTTGTCCCTATAAACCACCCAGGACAGGCAAATACATAGAGTCAGAAAACAGATTAGTGGTGGCTGGGCTGAGAAAGTGAGGAGCGTGGAGGGTCAAGACTAAAGGTTACATCTCTTTAGGGTGGTGAAAATCATACGGGGTTCTCAAATCAATTATGGAGTGGTTGCTCAACTCTATGCTTTTAAAAAAATCCTCAGTTCACATAAATGAGGGAACTGGGTGGTGAGTGAATTTTTAAAAAATATTTTGTTTATTATTTTTATGTGTATAAGTGTATTGCCTGCGTGTATGTGAGTGCAATGCTGCTGAGGTCAGAAGAAGGTTTTGGATTCCCTCTGGAACTGGATGGAGTTAAGGACAGTTTGTAGCTGCCTTGTGGATGGTGGGGATCGAACAGGGGTCCTCTGCTAGAGCAGTCAGTGCTCTTAACCGCTGAGCCATCTCTCCAGCCCCAGTGAATTTTATCTCAATAAAGTCTTACCAAAAAACAGAGAAGGGAGGAAGAAATAACTCTCTCTCTCTCTCCCCTCTGTCTCTCCCTCCTTCCCTCTTTCCCTCCCCCCCCCCGTGTGTGTGTGTGTGTGTGTGTGTATGTGTGTGTGTGTGCGCGCGCGCGCGCGCACACACGTGCTTCTGTATCCCAACTGTGTGCAGAATTGCCCCTCTATGTGAAGATTTGGGGAGACAGCATCATGGTCGTAGCAGTGCTACACCTCTTAAAGTGGGGCATCTTGTTTTCTCTCCTATTGACTTGGCTGTAATGACTTACAAGAAAACAACCCCAATTCTGGAGTCAGTTGGTTTTGTGTTGGAGCCCTGATATCCACGGTCGCTTCCAGTCTGTGTGACTTTGAGAAAGTCACCCCACCTCAGTGGCCTCACTCCTTTCAGCTCCGCTGTCGGGACAAGAGGATCAACCACACCCTGTTCAGAGCACAGGTTGAACCCAGCGGGCGCTGGAGAAACTGCGGGTGAAAAGGACTGGGTACCGGCTGAGCCACCGCAGAGATGCTCTGAGAACTGGCGCCTCCGGAGTCGCAGCGCTCAGCCACGCCTGCCGGGACCGGTTTGGAAGGAAGCCGGCTGCGAGCAAGCCGGCCTGGGCCGGGAGCCGGGGCCAGGACCCGGAGTCGGCCGCGGCCCCGCTGCTCATCCATCAGCCGGACGAAGAGCAGAGTCCCGCTCTTGGCCCTCTGTTTGCTTTCTCGCCAATTATTGCCGCGCCGCAGCCCCTTTGTTGATACAGTAGTCCGAAAAAGTGCTAATGTTCATTTATCAGGGGGCCCGCCGGGGACTCCCTCGAGTTGCGATTCTTCCCAAAATATAAACACGGGGCGAGCGTCCCAGACAGAAACCCCCATCTGTTTCCCCAGTACGGGCGGAGAGCGAGGCGTTGTTGAAGATAAAGCCTCGGATAACACCGCCTGTCTCCAATGGACGTCTCCCCGGCACATTAATGACATTCTGGGTGATAGTTCCAGCTTATCTTTCAATTAATCATATATACCTTTCGCGGCCGGCGCTGCTGATTGCAGGAAAGGGGGGCAGGCTCGGGCTGCGCGGATCGCTTTTCAATTAATAATAATTTATTTACTCAGAATGCGCTGGAGCTATCCCGGAATTTGACTAATCTCAAAGTCTTTAAAAGGCAAAGAAATAACCGCTCGGATTTTCACTGTCTCCTTCTGGCCCCTTTGTCTCTGCCTTTCTTGGCTGAAGGCTGTATGTTTGTCAAAGTGCTGCCTGGAGCCGGCACAGATTGGGCCAGGCGCACTTGGGGAGAAGGATGCAGTCCATTTGGGGCTGGACAGTCAAGTTTCCTCGCATTCGATCCCAGCCATTGCAACTTCTTTTTAAAGATCAATATATATTCTTTTAGCACACACTGGAAAACAGCTAGGACTGAAAGCCACATTGGAAATGGCTCTGAGCCTGTTATCCTGCAGAAACCAGTGTGGGTCACCCCAGTTCTATTTTGCAGATTTATCTCGTTTGCCCTGCTCCTCTCCAGTAAGAAAGGCCAAGGCCTTTTCATTAAGGGTCTAAAGGGTGAGAAACTCACTAATTTTGTTCAAATAAGTGTTTTCTTTCCTTCCTTTTTCTTGACCCCAGACCCGCATATCTGTCAGCTCTGGGAGCCCTCATATCTGAAAATTGGTGATAAATCCTTGCCATCTTGATTTGCAAAGGAAACGTTCATATTTTTTCTTCCTTCAGAACTGTCTCTTACCCCACCCCCAAAGCCCTTAAAACAGGGAACCCGGATGCAGCCTCGATGTCCCCCATTAAATGGTAATATTTCAGGCCTAGGCTCACTAATCTTTCAAACTGTCATCGGGATCCACCAGGCCAGCCGATTCACTTAACAGTGCTCCCAGGCCCCTGCTCGAAGCTCTTTTCAGCAAGATGTTTAATTGAATCGGATGTGGCTCGTCTGCCAGACGTCACCGCCTGGGTGATAGACATCCCCTCCAACCCCTAGAAACCAATCTTCAAAAGCAGGGAGCCCCCCACCCTTAAGAACTATAACTAGACCAAAAGCCATGGCCAGAGGCTAGGAACCTTCGAAGAATATGCTGTTGGGTGGATAGGTCTAGGGATGAGAAGGAGGTCCCATCTGGGGGCAGGCATTAGCAGATCAAGCTAATTATTCCCAGAACCCTTCATGGTCCCTGCTTGAAATCCTGAGATGGCCTCACTGATGGCTGGTGCCTGGAAGCTGGCTTCCACCCTGCATGCTGCTGCTGCTGCTCCAGACACTGCCTTGAGGCCTGGCCCTCTTCCCTGATTTGAAGGCCACAGGCCTTCAGACTTTGGGTTTGATGAGAGGTAGGGAAACAACTTCAGGTCCATGCTGGCTTCACTACTGCCCCTGACAGAGGGTGGCTGCCTGAAGTTTCATGGTAAGGCAGGAATCACAATTCACATTCTGGACAGGAACAATTTGACCGCTCTGGGCTTTGGGCCCATGATTTTGGAGCGGCAAGTTTAGCCAACTTTTGGTCCTGCACTCGCTTTTCTTCTACTCCAAGGGCCTTTTCTGGGGTTGCTAACTAGCCCTCCACATCTCTTGCCTCTTCCCTGTCCAAGCTTCTGTCTTGAAGAATCACTGGTCTTCCATTAGCAAGTCTCATCATCCAGAAGACATGGTAGGGCAGTCACCCTAGCCTGGGACCCTTCTGCTTTCTCAATCTCTGAAACTGTAGCAAAATAAAATTCCACTCTACAATACACAGGAGTCTGAGAAGGCCCAAGTCTCCCTTAGGCCTAAGCTCCCTAAGAAGTTCTAAGACTCTTAGGACAGACCTCACGCTCATGAAACCTTGACGGAATTCTCTGACAGAAGGACCTGGGACTCAAAATGGCAGCCCCAGCTACCCTATTCTGTCCCCTTCCCAGGGTGAGCTACCATGAGCAGTCCCAGGTTCCTGAGAAAACCTGGCTCATCTGAACTCAGAGAAGTTCATACTCTGTGGAGTATAAACCTGGGCTGCACCCCTGAGGGCTTGGAATTGAAGGCCTGACATTCTTGTTGGTATACTGAGAGGGGATGGAGAAGAGGAGCAGCATGGTGGGGTGCGGAAAGAGAAATAGGGTAGACCAGGCACCCCAGAAGACAAGCTCTTTCTGGTAAGCTGAGCTGAGCCTGGATTTGCTTCCTCCTTAAGAGGAGTCAATTCCCTGGTAGAGAATGAGGCTCCCTGAAGCCCTTCTTGCACAACTTAATCCACTGCAGGTGGCTACTCGAACCCCACCATTACCCACTTCACCTTTCTTTTCAGCTTGATTTACTCAGGACCCCTGATGGCATGGGATTCTGGAGGAGGGACTACTGGGGCAAGATTGGTCCTGTAGATCAAGTTAAATACTGCCCCCCGACTCCCTCGGTTATCAGTCCCTCAGTTATCATCCCAGAACCAGTATCTCCTGTGCCCTTTGCTTCCTATTCAGATTCTTCTCATTCAGACCCCAATGATATTTCACTAGAAATAATTCCCCTCTCCCCACTTCCCACCCCACCTTCGCTGGCCCATTCATTTGTGAGTGCCGAGAAATATTTTCTTCAAATCTCAGACCGACCCAATTCTGCACCGAAATCCAGCTCGGCAGAATTTGGGCAGAATTTGGTCTTTTCTTGTGAAAGCGTCTGGCTGGGGTATTCAGGCTGAAGAGGAGCAATCTCAGGCTGCACCAGTAAAAGGAGATTCTTCCAAACGCGTCGCGGCCCCTTTAAAAAGCTGGGTAGGATTTTTTTTTTCTAGCCCTATGACTATATTAGGTGACACAAAACTGCCCGTCGCTCTTGTCATCGAGGCCCCTGGCCCAATGGCAAGCTGAATCCCCCTCCTCCGGGCTGATCCCGCCTCTTCTGTCCCGGGTGCTCAGCGCTACCTGCTGCTCCGCCACATCCTGGGCAGAAAGGCGGGTGCGGGTGCGGGTGCGGGCGGCGGGCACCATGCAGGGAGGCTGTCCCCGGGGGTGGGCAGCGCCACGCTCTGCCGCCCACCTGGCGCTGTGAGACCAGCGCTGCCACCATGTTTCCCAGCCCTGCACTCACACCCACGCCGTTCTCGGTCAAAGACATCCTGAACCTGGAGCAACAGCAACGCAGTCTGGCCGCCGGGGAACTCTCTGCGCGCCTTGAAGCCACCCTGGCGCCAGCCTCCTGCATGCTGGCCGCCTTCAAGCCGGAGGCCTACGCCGGGCCCGAAGCCGCAGCGCCCGGCCTTGCGGAGCTGGGCCCTGCGCCTTCGCCCCCCAAGTGCGCTCCTGCCTTCCCAGCCGCCCCCGCCTTCTATCCGCGTGCCTATAGCGAGCCTGACCCGGCCAAGGACCCTCGAGCAGATAAGAAAGGTAAGGAGAACCTCAGACCTCTTTACCCTCGGGAGTTGCTTTCCTGCCCAAATCGCTGGGCCAAGAAACCCAGGCCCGACAGAAACGCATCAGGATGCCAGCCGAGGGCTGGGCGCAGGGAGTTTGGAGTGTTAGGTGGAGGTTAACCATTATCTCCAAGCCCCGCAGCCAATCGGAAGTTTAGAGAGAATGCCGAGTTTAGAGGATCAGAGAAAAGAGACCAAAAAATTGTTTTCGGCCTACAAAGCCTCAGGAGCCTGGCGCCTTGCTCTTGGATCTCTTACCAAGTTAAGCCATCAGTCTGCGGTTGAACAGAAAGAGATGATCTTTGTATCAGAGTTTAAAAATCTCCTTTGAGTTTAGGGGTAGTTGGAGGAACTGCTAAACAAAGTTTACCCGAGGGTCCTGGGACTTCTGTAGCCCACCCTGTATTCTGGGGCCTTTGTGCAGGAGAGACGACCCTGGGAACATGGCCTCGATTTTAAGATGGAATGTTGTGGACCCTCAGGAGTTGGATTTCCCTTTCTTCTAACAGCACAATTTCCAGGCAGGGCCAGACAGAAAATGTCTTCTGGGACATGATAGAAAATACCGATCCAATGAAGGAACTGGAGAGTGGAGAGAAGGCTTTGGAACATGGCCTTATGGCCTGGCACCCCAGAATAGGGGACAGTGCCTGCCCTGCTCTCACTGGAGGGTGCTTTGGGGAGCCCCGGGCCCACCACCGGGTCTGAGCAAAGCTGGAGCGGCCCAAAGTCTGCTGTGAGCTGGGAATGGATTCCTAGATTTATCTAGAAGCAAAAAGAAGGCCCAAGAGCATCTGAGGACAAGGAGACTTGATTGCTACTAACTCAAATCCTGCTCTAAGCGGGCAGGGCGGGTGCTGAGGCCTGAGCCCACCCATGATTCCTGGGGAGTCACACAAACACGGGGACAGACCCGCTGGAGCCTTGAATCACCAAACCTACACCACTAGCATCCTGTGTCTTTGGTTGCTTGGTTTTAGGGCAAGCTGACCCTTGGGGGTGAGATGTGGCCCTCCCCTAATTTCTCAAACCGAAGTGTTCCTGCTGTAATGCAACCCGAGGCATCCTATGATTTTATTTTCTTTGCAGCCAGAAAACATAAGCCACACAGTCTGCAGTCAGAATGCAAACTGCCCGAGGGCAAAGGCTTCTCTTGTTTTGTTTTGTTCTCCACTTCCTATGGCTTTAGGAGTGGACACAGCGCAAATGGGTAACTGCCCGAAAACCCAACGGTGCGGAGCCGGGTGCACTCGGCGGTGTCCGGAAGCCAAGCTGGGTGCTCCCGGCTGGCCGGGGTGGCATCCACGTGGGCTGGCGGAGCTCTGGCCCGGAGCTCTCACAGAGCGTGTCTCTGCCTCTCTTCCCCTGCAGAACTGTGCGCGCTGCAGAAGGCGGTGGAGTTGGAGAAGGCCGAGCCCGACAGCGCCGAGCGGCCCCGCGCGCGGAGACGGAGGAAGCCACGCGTGCTCTTCTCGCAGGCGCAGGTCTACGAGCTGGAGCGGCGCTTCAAGCAACAGCGCTACCTATCGGCTCCGGAACGCGACCAGCTGGCCAGCGTGCTGAAGCTCACGTCCACGCAGGTCAAGATCTGGTTCCAGAACCGGCGCTACAAGTGCAAGCGGCAGCGGCAGGACCAGACTCTGGAGCTGGTGGGGCTGCCCCCGCCGCCGCCGCCCGCCCGCAGGATCGCCGTGCCGGTGCTGGTGCGCGACGGGAAACCCTGCCTCGGGGACTCGGCGCCCTACGCCCCGGCCTACGGCGTGGGCCTCAACTACGGCTACAACGCCTACCCGTCCTACCCCGGCTACGGCGGGGCGGCCTGCAGCCCCGGCTACAGCTGCGCCGCCGCCTACCCCGCCGGGCCCGCGGCCGCTCAGCCAGCCTCGGCCAACAGTAACTTCGTGAACTTCGGCGTGGGAGACTTGAACGCCGTGCAGAGTCCGGGAATGCCGCAGGGCAATTCGGGCGTGTCTACGCTGCACGGTATCCGAGCGTGGTAGGGAAGGGACCCGCCTGCGGAGCCCCGGACCGGTTCCCAGCTTAGGAGACCTGAGATGGCTCCCGGGGAAGGGAGGGCTCCCCGCCCCTCGGATTTCAAGCGCGCCGCAGCGCCGGCCTCGGAATGATTTCTACCCCAAGCCCTTTGTTCCTGAGTGCGCCCGGACACCTCCGACAGATCGACACCCTTAGGGACCGAGTGCCCGCCACGCGGGCCTAGGATCCCAGAGCGTGGGCCGGGAGCCCGGGCCCTGACTGCCTTTATGCCGCCCACCCACC